CTGGTGCTTTTTTCATTGCCGTTGTATGATGAGACCAGTGAGCCTAAATATCAATATACGTGAAATAAGTTATTTAGAGACTATGGATGGCGAGGATAAATGTAATAAAGGGATCTACAAACATTACATTGGTGACCTACAGTGAGATGGTAACAGGCATGCGCTTAGTGCCCGCTTTCCAGCCAGTTTCTGTGGGGTGACGCATTCTGAGGTGAGGCAGAGCTCATCTGTGCCTCACCTCACCCCACACTAACTGGCTTGAGCGCACTCACAAAATAAGTGCCCGCGTTAAATTAGTGCCCGCGCTCCAGCCAGTTACTGTGGGCTTACGAGAGGCAGAGCTCGTCCCTGCCTCACTCCTCATCGCTACCCGTAGTTGTAGCGGAGGCTGATTTTGACTTTAAAAAGCGATTGGAATCATACATAAATCACACTTACATCACAGATCAGTGGAGACATTTTATTATTATTACTATTTATAGTTTTTCTTTAATTATTTTTCCGTTACATTGGAGTATGACAGGTGAGGTTCTGCCTCCCCTGCCTGCACGTCGCTGATTTAGACACTGTTATTGTAACTTAGTCAAGGGGCCAGTCAGTAATCAAAACTTTTACCAAAATAAATTGTTGCACTTGGCAAAAACACTACAGTTCAGTAAAAAGTGTATTATCTTATCGCAGAGTAAATCATTCGCAATTGATCTCTACTGATATGAATGAAATGAACTACCAATTGCCACATATGTGGGAACAATACATCCTTTTTTAAATCTTATTCTATACTGAATTGTCGTAGTTCCCAATGCCCTACCATGGATCCCCTAATTATTACGTCTTTTTTTTTGTTTCCTGGGACATGTACCATAAGGATTGAAAATCCTTCCACGCTTATACCGAAGACCATAGATAGATATATATATATATATACTATCTATCTATGGTCTTCGGTATAAGCGTGGAAGGATTTTCAATCCTTATGGTACATGTCCCAGGAAACAAAAAAAAAGACGTAANTGACTGTGGCAAGATGGCCGCCGGTGAGCTACGCTGGCGACTCCCCCTTGAGCCATCTAGTATATATATATATATATATATATATATATATCTATCTATG